TTGTGTGTGTTGAATGACTTTTTCTGCGGATTCCGTTATTGAGGCCTTTATTACTTTCCATGACTCCTCAACCTGTTCATTATCACTTCCCTCTAATTTTCCTAGGGAATTTGCTATTGTTCCTTGACATGTTCGTAATGTTTCTTCTTTTTTTTTAATTTATCTACATCGTATTTTCTGAGTATTTTTTATTTCTTTTTCCATTCCATGGACATCTTTACTTTGAAATCAATCAGGATCAAGTAATGATCTGTGTCTGCGTCTACTCCTCTGTAGCTTTTGACGTTTTTTATAATTGTTTTTTGTTTATTTTCTATGAGGACATGGTCAATTTGGCTACTAAATCTGCCTCCTGGAGATAACCATGTTTCTTTATGAATATTTTTCCTTGGGAATCTTGTACTGCTTATTACCATATTTTTACTTATTGCAAAATTAATTAATCTTATTCTGTTGTTATTGCTTCGGTCGTGCAGACTATTTTTCAATCGTCGCTTTGTATATATTTTCTTTCCCCCCTTGAGCGTTCATATCTCCCAATAATAATTTAATGTAATGGCCTGATAAAGCGTCATATACTTGTTCCAACTCTTCATAAAAGGTGTCTTTTGCTTCTTCATTTCCCGATTCGATTGGTGCGTATGCGCAAATCATTACCATATCCCTGTGATTCATAATGATCTGAATGAAACATATTCGGTCATTTATATCCTTAAATTGTTTAATTCATGGTATTAGACTATTGGGCATGAGGAAACCCCCTCATTCTCATGTTTATCATGTTTAACCATATAATAATGTCATATGACCTGTTGGTAGACATCCTTCACCCTGCCATCTCGTTTCTTGTAACACTACTATGTTTACCTTATATCTATCTATTGCATTAACTAGTGTACCAAGAGCTCCCGCTTTATATAAAGCTCTTACATTCCATGTGCCAATCCTAAATCCTTGCAGTCCGGACCGTTTCTATTGTGTTTTATTCAAATTTCTGTTCCAAGGCTTTAGTTTTGGTTTCTTAACAGTAGAGTTTTTTTTACAGTGACGGGTTGTTGGCCCGTCGCCAAACCACTAACCTGGAGGACCAGATTACCCCAACAAATTAAGGTCAGGGCAAGACTATTGCAGAGTACTGAACAGGTGCTTTGGGCGATAGGAACGCCACTTTCCTGACGCCATTTGATTTAAATATAAACTTTAAAAATACCCAATTTCTTTAAAGTCTTTATAAGTTATTCAATATAATAGTTTAAGTTTAAGGATTTCAAAATCTTGTAACCCTACCTATTACTATTATCCAGTTCAAGGATCGAAAATACGAAGGACAAACGGCTTTATATCAATTGCACCGAAAATCGCAGGTAAAGAAAGAGAAATTTTGGGATGGAAAAAAGGTCATCTATTGCACTGGTATAAAAAGGGTATAATTTATAAGTATACCTACATCTATTGTGCCGATCGAAATTCAAGTTAATATATTATGTGATTACCTCATTAATACATATATATATTGATGAAAATTCAACTTTTCCCCCTTATCTTTGGTCATCGTGTAACATATCAGGTGAAAGAACAATAAATACCTGTGAGGCATTTCACTCAGCATTTGGGGCATTTTTTTTTTATTCACCCCATCCAAATATTTTTGTTTTTTATGAAGTTTTAAAAATAATGTAACGCAACAATTATAATACGTGTTCTCTTAGTTATCACAAATAAACCAAACTCTAAATTTATGACAAAAATAAATAGTAAAATAGACAAATCTAATTTTAATATATGACCTAAAAACTTTTCAAAATGTATAGGATTAATGTAAATATATATATTTATGTGTATAATATACTTTTAACGTAAATACCAAGTATGTAGAATGATAATTTTGATTTTAATTTTAATTTTCGTTTTTAGCCATTATGATTTTTACTTATACTGTATAGTTGTTATACCGGCGCAATAGATGTATACTATACAGATAGTGTCCCAAATTTGGCGCAATTGACAAATACCGGGACGAACTTCCACCACCAATATATAAATCAAAAATTTATATATTTATACAATAAAATCTCTATTTTTCTTTACATAATTAGTAATGAGTACTTAAATGTAAATTAACATGAACACATTTGGGGGTGCTTATTTCAAATATAGGGTTGCTAAGCACACCCAAGCCCCCCCCCCCCCAAATTGCACCTATGGACAAATCATTAACTAAAATTTGATTTAGTGCATACTCGTACAGACGCTGATTAATATTACGAGTTTAACATTCGAATTTTCTTCTATGAATGAAATATTAGTGTTACGCTATAAAACAATATTTTACAATAATTGTAGATAACGAATATTATATAAATTCATACAACACGATGAAGGAATTACGTGAAAAATAATTGGATATTCTCATAATATTGTTATAACATTTTCCTACATTACTAAGAGAAGATATGGTACAAAACGGTAAAAATAAAATTTAACAACTTTTTTATCAGTATTAATAAAATTAATGCCTGTCATATTTATGGAAATTATGTTTTTATAGATATTCCCATTCAAATATTTATTTTTGTGAGAAACAAACGTGTTTTTTTATTTTATTTTTAATACAATTTTACCAAAAATATATAATAATGTATCGTAAACATTTGCGGATAATATTTATCTTTTCTTCAAGTGTTAATACATATAATTTATCTGAAGATGTAATAAATATATGTAACAATAATTCGAAATTTCAAATTAGTAAAATAACGATTGTGACTACTTTAAATACATTTTTAACTGTGTAAAATCATAAATTATTTATTTAATTTATAAATATATTTTCAGACAACAGAATACTATCAGATTTCAATATATATATTTTTTTTTTTATTACAAAGTTATATATCTTTTATCTGTACTTTCAGATACAGACTGTTATGTTAGGAATTTTGAATGGAGGGGGGATGAAATATTTTTTATTATTTATAAAAACGAGATATATTTTACAGAATATAAACAAATAATGTATAATTTTCGTATCACAAAATATTTATTACATTTAGCTTATAAATTATGTTTATATAAATCAAAGAACAAAATCAAATTTACGAGTCTTTTTCTGAGCCATTTTTTTAAATAAAAATAATGTTTATAAATTAGATATTAAGATCTCTTAGATAATCAAGAGATATGTGTTATATTTAACTCAACTTCCTTATACAGTATATGAAATTCATAATTTATGATTTTACGTAATTTTTGAACAGCAGAAACAATACCTTCAACAAAATGATCTGCTTCTTTTAAGTCAAAGTAAACTTTTCTCAATAGTTTACATGAAGGTAAACTGAACGAAAATAACAACTTATGAAAAATGTAGTAAGCCCAAGGCTAGGCGTATTTTATAATCAGCATTTAATTAATTAATATCTAATAATCAAAAATAACTTATTACGCATATTAATAAATTCGCCAAGGTCCAGCTAAATTTAATAATCAAAATAATATTTTGATTATTTAATAGATTAAAATAGTATATGTGTAAAATAGATAATATATTAAATTCGCATATACGCAGGAAAACCAGGGTAAAGGTGAAAACAACAAGTAGTTTCACGTTTTTACATAATAATGCTAAATAGAGGGCAAAATAAAGTAATATTAGAATTAGGCCACTCTTACGTCATTGGAACCTGTATAAATACGGGTTGAGCATTTAGCATTATTCAGATGTAGATAGGTAGTTAGACTGATCATTTCCCCTGTTAAATAGATTATTGCTCGTCGTGGACTTTGTTACAGCCACATCGCCGCGAGTATATAATTCTTAGCCCAGAATAACTTGTTATTTTAATTTTTTGTATTTTTAACTGTTTGCTAATTTATTGTGATAAATTAATAAAAACAGTAAGTTTATAAGTTTAATATACCAGTGTTAAATTTATTCACCTACCTATCTCTCTCAACCCATGTCTCAAGATTTCATACAACGTGCTACGTCGTTAAATAATTAATGTGTCAGCGATCGTAGTGTTCTGCACAACGATTACTACAAAAATTATTTTATTTTTGTTTTTAAATTCTAATTCTGTCACTGTGAACTTATGTACAAGTAATTTGATTTTTTAACCCGTGTGACATAAACTAATTAATAAATAGTTTTAATTTTAGTTAAGAATAATAATTACCATGAAATAAAATTGTATGATAGTAATTTTTAATATTTAAAGAATCTGATGTCACTTTCTTGGAATATTGTAATAACTAATAAGTAATATTATAATTTAAAATTTTTAAGTATTTATCACTTGATATCAGAGGTATTGTATTGATGTCACTATCTTAGAATATTGTAATTACTAATAAGTAATATTACAATTTAAAAATTTTAAGTATTTATCACTTGATATTAGAGATATCGTATCTTATCAAGTATATGGCAGTGATGTAGTAGTTGGTATAAAGTAGTCGTTAGGCGTATTATTATTTGAGGTTAAAATCAAATACCTTTTTATAATTATATACCTAGGTATATTTTTACTCATGATAATAACACAAAAAAAAAAAAAACGTTTAAAAAAATTGCTTTGTATTTTTTCGTAGTGTCATTTTATATAAGAATGAAGAAAACATAAATACAATTATGTAAAATCAATAAGAATTTATAGCAGTCAATGAGAAGGGGGGGATCCAACCCCATTTAAACACGGCATATGCTTTCAAATACAATTAATACAAATATGACTTGTATGCTTTTGGTCATAAACATGACTATAAATAAGTAGAAGAAAAACAAGTGCGTTCAACTGCATTATTTCATAAAAATCAAAATAAAAGGATATATTTCATCGGTGAACAATTTTAGCTATCGACATTTTATTACTTACAAAAATGGGTTATTTCATTTATTTTTCAAATGGTTGAGTATAATCCAGACAAGTATTTAGTAAGTAGGAAACATAATTGTTTTAATAATAACGTATGGAAATAATATAAATAAATATACAAACCTTTCCAGTAAGCATATGAATCACTGTCACTATTAGATTCGTTAGTATGGTTATTTCGAAGACTCCTTAGCCCAAAGTCGGCAATTTTTAGAACAAATCTGCTGTCAACCACACAGTTACTAGATTTGAGACCACCGTGAGAACGTAGTTCACTGCTATGTAAATAACACATTCCCTGAAAATTAGAAATTATTGTATAACATTTTTTTTAAATTTAAAATATCATTAATTTGGACACGCCATGATGAATTGTCAATAAAATTATAATCAATATATTTACGCACTATAAAAGTAATATATAATAATAACGTATAGTATGTATATAAATATTCGATATGTTTGTGTGCATATTATAATTACAGTGTTGCGTGATCAAACATAGTTTTCTAAAAATCTGAAAAAATGTAAAGAACTTGGAGGTTTTCAGCATTGAATATTATGATTTTTTTTTTTTTTTTACTCACCATAACACAATACGTTTAAAGTAGTGTGTGCAATTGAAATAAGTTCGAATAAAAAAGTGTTTTCCGGAGCTAATAAACTTTTACCATTTAAAATGATTAATCACGCAAAACAGTTATTATGTCGCATGCACGGACCGAAATTTATATGCTTAATAAAAAGTTCCCAAATAATATGTAGGTACATTTCATAACTTATTTGTGCTATATTTTCATCGAATGGAATGTTACCTAACTATATTAACGACTTACAAAATTTTCCTAAATGAAGAGTTCCTTACTAGGGATTTTAGTCTACAGAAAATTGTTTTTCTGAGTAAAGAAAGAAAAGTATTTTTATTTATAATGAAAACCCCGAGGGTGTGCAGTAAAGAAAAGCAAATATGATATTAAACACGATAGTATAAATTTTGAGAAATATTTAATAAAAAAAAAATAATATGATACGAGAAAACAAATTCATACGCATTGTGTTATTGTGTTCAGTGTACATATACCATAAAAACTGAAATTTGTTTTACCATCCGACGATCGATTGGGATATACCAGAGGTAAATTTTATATGAAATGTATGTGATATGCGAACAAAATGTGTTGGTACGTTGTTACCACATTATTATTATTCCTTATTATTTTGCCATTAAGTAATATCATCCTATTAATAAAGTATAATATAATATACTATGGAATATAAACATAAATATTAAACGAATGAATTACAAAATAACGAGGTGGTTAACGAATTTTTATATTAAAATATATTGAATAATTACGTTCTAGCACAACACGTGACAAGTAAGATATGAGTTTTGGTCTCTCACTCTCTATTTCGTTAATTTAGGTATCACGTACAAATTACGAGTTTGTCGAATAATGTGTATACTGAACACATTACAACACTGCTTGAATTATCATTCGTCAAACGTGGCGAGTGATACAATTATTCACGAACTGAGAACGAAAACGTTTTACATCTCATTTTTTTTTTTTTTTTTTCATATTATTGTTAACTACTATCGATTAGAACAAGTCATAGAAATCTAATTAAAATATTTTGATTTTTTTTTTTTTTTTTTTTATTATGTTATTTATGTTATTACATTTTGTGAAATAAATAAAAATCGTACGCATAAATGGTATTAAAAATTGATAAAATATTTGTTATTTACAATGTGCTTTCCAAATGTTTTCACAAAGAATATTTTTTTTATTTTCAGGCTTATAACTGATTAAATAACTAAAAATAAATGCAATTACTTTGACGATATCATGCATCAAACTGTACCGGAACATCCAGTCGAGTTTGAATTGATCATTTTCAAGTATATCCTGTAAACTTCCTTTTGGACAGTATTCGGTCAACAGGCAACAGTAATTAGGTTCTATGCAAGCCCCATAGAATCGTACCAAATGATCATGATGTAAGTCTTTAAGCTGCAAGGTTTTAATACGTATTAATAATGTTATAAACATCATATTCGCTTAAACTCCCACATAGACATATTAAATAATAATAGGAAATATCATATATCGGTACCATACAATATAGATATCTATAAAATACATTTGTTCAATAGCACACATCCGGTTGATACAGATTATTAATAAAATATATGAATATATATTGACATGTGTCAACTTTTGTTTATTACAGTATTAATTTTCATCAAAATTAATAAATGTTTATACACATTCTGACAGAAATGATAAAAAAAAAAAAAAAATTTTAAATTATCAGATGCGTATTTGGCTCAAGAATAGTGAAAAATACAATTCGATTTTGTTCAACATTTACCTATAGCAATTTATTGGTAAATTAAAAAAAAAAAAAAAACCATTTATTCAATCTTCTGTTATTTATTGCACTGTCAAGCTATAAATGAGTTTTGTAAAGATCTCAACAATTTAATTTTTATTTTTACATATTTTGTATACTTAAAACTAATGGGTGAAATATGACATCGAATAATCCTATAAAAAATGGTCTTCTGAAAAACACCCGTTTTATTAGCAAAATGTCAAATTAAAAAAACAAACCTACGAATGTAGAAATATTAAGTTTAATTATACATATTATACATATACGTATATTATATAAATTAATAAACATTCACATATATTATAGTAAACATTTACATATACAAAAATGTTGAATTAAGATATCTACATACCCTTTTCAATTCCAGCAATCGAGCCCGTGTCAACTCCAAGCGCGATCTTTTTAACGTCTTCAATGCTACTTTATTACCCTGTAATGAGAAAAATAATATAAATGAAATATCATAAAAATAAATCAGTTTATAATTGAAATTTCTAATTTATATTTTGATAAATTTCATACAATATAAATATAATTAGGTTTCAATAAGAATAGGTAGAAGAAAATCTTCGCATATCGGTAACAATTATATGTACTACCCGGTGTTGGTGAGTTGCAGCCCAATTCCAAATTAACGTACGTAAAATAATTCATTTCCCATTCCGAAACCATAATGAATCGTATTCTATCCTTCATCCTCGAGACTGGTTTATCCGTTTAAATAAATAAATTATTGTAAATACCTAATTGTACTTATATCTGTAAATTTCGAAATAAATTGTACACATACAAAGTTTCTTAAAAAAAAAAAAAATAATTCATTTAACTTGTTCAGTATTTCGTATACTATGACGAGCTTCTGTAATTTATACAACCTATCATAAACAAAAGAGCATCTTTAACGGCACACATATTATGCATAAATGGTCGATAAATCATTTGGATTTGAAAAGAGTGACTAAACAAATTAATTTGATAATATCTAACATTCGAGATTACGAATAATATTTACGAAATAAAATGTATACAATTATGTTTTAAACGAAAAAAAAATTAAATGCAGTTATAAAATAACTTTAATGACCAATAGTCTTTAAAATTATATTTTTAAACGAATAGTCATATTCATTTAAACCCATGGATAATGTTTTAACTGGCGCCTGGAAAGAGAGCAATTCAAATTCAAAATTATCCTCTATGACACTACAACAATGGTTTAATTTTACAAAGGATTATAAATCTGTAGAAACTTTAATAAACAAAACAATGTAAATGTGAGTTTTTTTTCTTTTTGTTTCTTTAATAAAATAAAACAAATAACACGGTTTGTTCATATGGCTTTTGTTGAAATTAATTAGAATTTAGGTTTAGTATTGTCATCCTATTATAAGATGTTATTAGGTTATTGTGATTTTTTAATATATTTTATTATTATCAATGTTTTCCTTCTATTTCTGGCATGATTAAAAATTGTTTAGTTTTTTAGCTTTTCATATAGCTATTCGGCGGTAGTGTAATCGACAGTTTTAACATAAGACCAATAAGATGTGTTTTTTTTCCACGCTGTGCCAGGGAGAATTGAAAAATAAATAATTAAATACTCAACTAATCCATGGAATTAAAATTAAGCCTAAAGTCTCCTCCGCAGTATACTTTTTCATTAAAAAAAAAACGAGATAATCAGATGATTAATTTCAGATAATATACATTACAATGATTCTATGTTCACATATATGTATAATTAGATGATAAAATGTCATCTTAGATGTTTTTTTTTTTTCTAATGAATATTCACAAATAGTAAAATTACTTCAAATTACTAAATTTGTGTAAAAAATATTTTATAAATTTTTATTAGAATAAAAAATAAAAAGTCAAATCAGGAAATAATATGTTTCTGAAACGAATTTTTAGTTGTATAAATAAAAGTAAAAAAGCAAATATGTGGTATTTTTAGTAAATCATTTGCCTTTCAATTATTCATGACTTGTTCCGTAAAATTCGTATGCTGAAAAACTTTTGTTATAATAAAAGACTTACAATTAAGAAAAAGTTTTTCTTTTTTTTGTAAAATATCTATTTCAGACCATAAACTATCTTATTTACCGAATGTAAAAAACCTAATCTGAATCGAAGAGGCCTAAGTATTTTAATTATTCTATGGCCGAACTAATGTAATAAATGACAAAATGTATAAACTTTTAATAACCCGTTTGAGTGAACAACGCTTCTTTTGTAAATAGAGATGTAACTTTCCATACTATCCAATAATTTAAATGTATAAACGATAACTTTGACTTCTATAATACACGTATACTCCTCTATAAATTTCTATTCAAAGCACTTTCTATGTATATGATAACTTTATACCTATGTATGAATTTTAGAACTCTGGAAAATTAAACTCACTCTATTTTGTAACTTTCAATTACTTCACAAACAGCTTTCTTATTTTAAAAAATAAATATTTTAGGCATGAATGGTGAAAATTATTTTAATATAATCAAATGATACCCGACTTATACTTTAAGTTTATTGAGCACGTTAAAGAGTGTAAATTTCAATCTAAATAATTCGTTTTCAAAAAAAAAAAAATAATATAGTATTAGAGACAGTAACGTAGTTACGTTATTGCAAACTATCAATATTTTTTATTTCAGTTTTGTTTATAAAAGGGAATATAAAATTATACATTTATAGATGATGAACCCAATTTTCACAGTTTAAGTATGCACTAATCAAAGAATTAATTTATATTTTTGTAAAAAATACAAAAGAAAAACAAGATAACATTATATTCCTATATTTTATAATACTAATTGTATACTAACAAATAATCAATGCGATCATATACATATTTTTATTCAAAAGCAATGATATTTTCTCACATCTAATTCAGAAAACATTTTCAATATTTCTTAATGCAAAATAATTGAAAAAAGTGATAAAAAACTAATGGTAAGTAACAAGCTTATGGAAGGTTTATTTTTAATGTAATTATTTTTGCAATTGATTCACAATTCAATACAAAGTTTAAAAATATTAGTTTATTCTATTTCAATTTATGGTTAGTATGCCACATAATACACCAAAGAATCGTGTGGATTTAGAGTACATTTTAAATGAGAAGTTTTTTTGCAAAAATGAAAGAAATATACAATATTGTAGGATCAATATTAATTAATTTCCTAACTTCCTTGCAACCGATTGAAAAAAATCCGAAATATTATTAAATACAGGTATTTTGACATGGCACGGAAAGGGTCAAGCGCCTCTTTAAAATGGATATATAAATATGCGAAAAAAAATGTAGTGCAGTACAGTTGAATATAAATAAATTTAACATAAATCGGTTAACACAGAATATAAACGAAAAAAAATACGATTTAAAATAAAAGAAATAAAAATAAGAATGTTACCAATTTTATTACACGCTCATAAAAGGTAAAAAATTATGTTCAGTAGAAATAAATTATTGAAGAAAAAATAAATAAAACAAATCAATGAGAAATATAACAACCTGAATTGTGAACGTATGTGTATAAGATGAAAAATATAAGAAATATTTTTCTACATTTTAAAGTGTAATACTACGGAACATATGAACATTATTAACAGTGTATCGGTTAAAAATACACTTTTTTTAAAGTGAATTAAATATCCAGAGACATTTTTAATAACCAAATCAAAGTATTAGGTAATATTGTAGGTAAGCGGAAAGTTAAATAAACCATATGGATAGTACAAATTAGAAAGTTTACGTTGCGTAAAGGTTCAAGAGATATGGTAGAATAAGACCATAAGCCGGTGCAATATTATTTACTGTTGACCTTTAAAACTATAATGCATCTAAATGAGATAAAAAAACGTACGACGATATATACAAGGGCACTAAATCACACGATTACAACTAGTGCTATATAATAGCCAACTGGCTATGTATACAAAATAAATAACGTATAACCCATAGTGATAGTTTTCAATGCATGTATAACAAGTTCTAAATATTAATTGAACGTTCGTTGTTAACAAGACATAACACATAACGGAAACACTGCGGACAAGAAGAGAATAAAAAATAAAAACACTCAAGAAACCAGGAATTCACGACACTATCACGCACGCGTCGTATTGTCGACAACGTTCAAGAACTAAACAACTACAGATGATCATACGACTTGATAGAATTTCGATAACGAACCGTTCAGAGAAGACTTCGACCACCAAGGACGAAAGCCAAAAGTGCAGGCTGTTCGTGGGCAACCTGCCAAAGGTAAAGACGGAAAACGAGATATTCGACGAAGTGAGCCGCATAACGCGCGGTGGTCTGGTGCGTGTGATCACGTACAAAAACTTTGACAACCCGTCGATACATCGAGGCTTCTGCTTTCTGGACTACGGATCGGTGGCCGCGGCTACGTACGCCAAGCGGGCGCTGTCACAGCAAAAGATGTTCGGTTGCAAGACAGTCGTGGACTGGGCGGACCCAAAACCGAAAGTGGACGCGGACACTATGGCCAAGGTACGCATACTGTTCGTCAAGCAGTACGGCGGCGTGCTAGACGAGCGCGTGCTGGCCAAGGTGTTTGGCCGGTATGGAGTCGTGGAACGCGTGAAGAACTTAAAGAACTACGCGTTCGTGCATTTTGAACGGCACAAGGACGCGCAGTTGGCCATGGTATCGCTGGACTGTTATAGGGATGTGGCTTCGGGTGTGCGCCTCGACGTCGCGTGGGCCAAGCCGCCGGTCGACAAGCAAACGCGACAGCGGATGTTGCGTAGCCGGGAACGCCAGGTACAGAAATCCGTTGTCGAAGCCATGAGTCAACCGGTTCGCAACGCCCCGCGGCCAACATGCCGCACTTCTGGAGTCATTAGACGCGTCGGCCCCACCCCTGCCCACGGCACCGAAGTGTACGACCATCGCGGTTAAAACTTTGGACCACGGCAACCGTGCAACCGGTGCCCCCTCACCTCTGCGGTGAACGTCCCCGTGGCCGAAGACACGTCCGACGATAGCAACAACGACAGTGCACGCCGATACCGCTTCAATGTCACGTGTGCGGTCCAGCGCAGAGCGGTCCGTTACGATGATGGTAATTGGAAGAAGGGTGGCACGAGAAGGTTGGATCATAAAGTGTTGAATTTTTTCGACAGCATTTCTACGAGCTGAGCCAAAAACGATAGACGTCAACGTAGTTGTCTACCCGTTTACCCACATTTACGTTACGTAAATGTTTTTACCCACATTTACGTTTACCCACATTTTACAGAAAAAAAAATAAAAATAAAAATGAAAAAAAAAGTTTTTTCAAATAATTTAATCAGCATGACGTGAGAGTTCATAGAATTGAAACATGAAGTATTGTGTCTTCAAACGTATTTTGAAGTGGCCACTGATCGATATAATGGCATCCGGATAAGGAAAGCGTAACGGATTACAACGTGCGTAAACGATGTTTACTTGAAATCCGATTAGACACAATATTTCACTAAAGTGCTACAGCACGATTTAAAACTAGGATTACTATTCTAAGAGAAACTACGATCCTTCTACCCGAAACCGTTAACTTAAATCAATCAATATAGGGCTCCGCACCAACATACTATCACAATACATTTTACTTTCTGGGCGAAGCGAAAAACATATTGCCTTTACAACAATATGTTATATTTTGAAGATGTAATACTATTATGAGTTAATTGTTTCATATATAAAAATAATCCAATTTAATCAAAATGATAAAATGTTCTCCAGTTATATTAGGAACAAATAGTAAATAACTATAAAAAATGATAAATTTAAATGAAAACAATAAAAAATAAAAATAAATAATAAAAATGATACATTTTTACAGATAACTCATTAGCACTTACTGATGAAAACCATGTCTTAAATGTCAACAGTATTTAAAATTGAGTTTTGATTTTACTACTTTTCTTCCATATATTTTCAAATTCACTATATATTTATACAATTTAATGAGCAACGAAATCATAGATAGGAGGCAAAATTCTTTGTACGAGTTGCAATATTCTCAGTATTCTCTTTTTAAAGAATTATTTTTATAATTATATTTTAGCATAAATAATATCTAAGCAAGATTAATCAGAGATTTTCATTTAATAATTTCTATCCGAAAGTGTTAGAGCTAAAACTGTATGATTTAGCTCTATTTTATTACGAATTGATTGTAGTAGTTAAAATAAGTTATTAAATGATCCGTATATCATGTTTGCTTGAATTTAATGTTTTTTTTTTTATTTTTCACTTTGTAATTATTGATGATTTAAAATCATATCACTAATGATCTAAAACCATTTCTAGAAAAATATAGATATCAATTTTGGGATATTTTATTGTTCTGATTGTTTACTTATCCGAAGAAAAAAACGGTTAAAACAATATATTACATTTTATACATTAATAATTGTTAATAGTTTTACTGCACACCATCGCTTATAGATTTAAAAGCTTATAGTCGGGTGTATTTATAGTGTATTATAATGTATCCACATTCAAGCCTTGAAAACCCGAAAATACTCCAAAATCGTGAATGTAAATAATTTATTGCCATATAATTCTTACATTTGACTATTCTCCTTTCTTTTCATAACCGGCATTTTTTGACTAAAACAAAGGATTTCTCGAGCGAGAACCGAGAACACTACTACATTCACGTCTTTTTAATGAGTGGTGGATACATGACGTATTTTTTTACTTTATTTATTTTCCATTTAATTTTTAAAATGTGAGATAATGAACTGAAATTGATATTCATCGAATATTTTCAATCCGAGTCTATTTTATGGGACATTAAACATTGTTATTACAAGAAAAAAAATGTAAATCACCATGCATGGAACTGACTCTAACAGGCAATAGAGATAAAACTTAAAAAAATGTGTTTCTCATTATAGACATTTTATAGAGATCGTATAATTAAAAATGAATAAATAAAATGTAATGAAATTTGTTTATCATAAATAAAAAACTAAATAGTTAAAAACAAATAACATGTTATTTTAAGGTACCACTTTATATTTTTTGAAAATCTATAGAATAATATACTTACTTTATAAAATGCTGTTTGGATGAACATTTGACGTCCATATTCACACTGGCTCATCAGGCTCATGAGGTCTTCTGATATTACCGTCTGAAATAATAAAAAAAATCATTAAAGTTAAAATTAATTTTTTGGGAATTCACGCGAAAAAGTGAGCCCTTATTGATTAAAGTTTCTAGGTTTCATATCAATATAATTATAAAACAAAAAATAAACCTAAAGATATAAACTAATTTTCTTAAGAGGATACCATTTTCTGTCAACAGAAAATATAAGAAAATCTACATAGAATTTTAAATACGCGATTTTCATGTTGAAATCAATGTATAAAGACCTAAAAACGAATCTGAAAAGAAAAATTATTACGAGGACTTCTTAACAGAAATATTGTAATGCGTTCAATCATTTAACTATTCTATAATTGATGTTGAATGTTTTTTAATTTTACCCCAAAATCATTAATGTACAAAACATTAAAAGTGCAACATTAAATTATTTCATAAATACGTTTCGATTACATTTTATGAATATTGGATCATTGAGGTATTTTGAATCAATATAATAGAGCGAATGCTACAAAAAAATATATTTCTCTCTAAATCTGATAGCGAATAATTTTCAAAGTTAAATTTTAACAACTACGTCGCAAACTGAAATTCGAATACGGAGATGAACGACATGAATATTATATTCATCGGCATACAGAACTACTGCCAACACTCTCTAGCAACATAGGTGCTTACGCAATGTATAAAAAAAATATATCGTCGGTCAGTGGCCGTAGTGTATGCAGGAATATCAAACATATATTGTGTATATTATATGTATTTTAAACATAATTCAATGTGCTTATGGTGAGGGGGGAAGGACTTAACATCATAAAATAGTATGACAGGGGACATGCACCACAAACATTTAAGAACCCTTGGATTAAACGACTGTTGAGGCAACGCGCAAAGTATCGGCTCGCCGAATTAATGAGCCGGTCGTATCACCGAAGCTGCATCCACGGTCAAAATCAGAACAACGGAATTGAATCGCCATTTGAACGTCCGCGTGATCTGCACACGTGCCAAGGTTTATCGACAGTATACGGGTATGAAATTCAACCCCGAAGGGTACGCCAGCTAACGCTGGAAACGAACGAAAACGGACGTGCTATGCAACGAGTTTTTCGCTACACTACCTACACCCCACCCCGCTGCTGAAACACAATAATTACAATCGCGCGCTTACCCTTTGGCTATTTCTTCTAATAAGGCTTGTCATGCTCATTCTCCATTTGTCCTGCGGCACTTTTATGATGTCGTTGTAACTGACTTTCCACGTCATTGATGCTATTTCAGCTTCAAGTTTGTAATGTCTAAAGCAATTTATCATCATAACTATTATTATTCGCCATCGAATCGAAGTGGTGCGAATTTAGTTTACAACAATGTAAAAACATAGGAACCTATGAGACTATATCGTGACTATTTACTGTATAACGATCCTGCGTACATCGTTTTGTGATTCCGTTATATTTTATGAACGTGTTTCTCTAAATTACTTCATTCGATTTTAGATGGATAACATTAACAACACAATTTATACAATCCGAAAAATACAATTTAGTCTTATTAATGGAAACTATAACATTTTATCTCTGATTTTATAATACAACGATGTTTCAACAAGACATTTTTAATACATTGTATTATTTACTTATAGTTTGTAATAAAAAAACCACAAATAAATAAATGTATTTATGTAAAAGTAAAAGAACAATGTAGTGAAGGAGAGTCAATTTTTATTATTTAATGTCCATAATTCAACGCATTTTCATTGATTCACTCTACGATTATAAGATAATACATAGTTAATCTTTATTGTAGTTATTATCTAAGTAAGTTTTATGTATTGGAATATAGTGTCGATAATGTTTCCTCAGTGCTTTTGTTGATTGAAAAAATAATAAAAACCAGCAATACAACAAAGTTTGTTAAAAAAAAAAAAAAAATAATAATAAGAAAAAATACCATATTCATAAAATAATCAAGAACTCAAATCGATCATGTTTCCTTATTAATTTAATTAATTTAGAAACAAAGAAAAAATTGGAGTAAAACAAAGTTAATTAAAAAAATGTAATACATTTAAAATAATAAAATAGTGAAAAACTCAAATCAATAATCTTATAATAAACCAAAATAAATGTTGTTATTAAACCAATACGAATGATAAGAGTAATATTAATAATTGTTTTATAAAATACTAAAATATTGTAAGGGGTTAGAGATCGTAAAATATATAATTTAAAAATTATATTATTTTATTTGAGATAATTCGATCTGCAAGATATATATTTAACCATACAAATAAATAATTTACTTATTGGTGTTCAATATTTAAAAAATATATACATCTAGTCCAAAATTCAAACCATTGAAAATAATTCAAAGTTATAAAATGTTAATTTAAAAATAATAAATGTATTTATATTATACTAAATGACAGCATTTTTCAACCTGTTTATGCCAATATTAAAATTATTATGAGAATATTGGTCACAAGAGTCTAGTGGCTAGACCGGGTGAATTATATACATATGTTATACATAAAGCCAATAAAAATGGTGATATAAACACATTTTTAGTTTACATTGATAAAGAGTTCAATCCCTAGATTAGATATATGGTACTTCGAAAAGTTATATATAGATGACAAATATTATCAGTTTAGCAAAAAATAAAAAAAAAACCATTATTTACAATGAATATACACACAGTAAATAAGCTTGGATTTATAAATATAAACAAATTCTTGTTGATCATGAAAATTTACAAATTAAGTACATTTTTATTGTTATTAAACAACAAGCAATTTATTAACATTTTCGTATGTATACACGAAACTCATAATAGGCTATGAGCACAGATTCCATTTAATAATAAACATGAGCTTATGTATATATTTTCCTTTTATTTTGTCAATTTAAAATAAACATTTAATATTCTTACGGCCATGTATGAATAAAAACTAAATAAATACAGTGTGTATAACAAGCTGACGGAACAGGAAAATAAAAAAAAATGTATGGCTTAATCCTATGTATTTAATGTTCAACTGATTAATGTGAATATATGTAATATAAAAAAATCCGAATATCATTAAATTATCACAAAATAATTATTGAAATAAAAAAAATAAAAATAAGACAAAAAGTTCATTCATCAGTTCAATTACATATGGAAGATAAGCTGAAAAAGTAAATAATAACTGTAATGCTCAAATTTTAAAGAAATTAATAATCTATAAAGCTTTGTATAGTAGGGATGGGCAAAAAAATAGACGTTTTAGATCGATATCGATGTTCTAACATCGATGATTCGTTTTCGATTAATATATAAACATCGATGTTTATGTTTGAAATGTTCGAATTTTTTTTTATTTTTTGTATTACTTATACTCCACCTGACCCATATCATCCTCCTCTAAAAATTTCATTTCCGTATATCTCGACCCCTACTATATGTAATTCATAACATTCCTTTCTGAATTTCAAAAACGCCGATTACGATTCAATAATTTCTTTTTTGTCTTCCTTCGATTGGTACTCTACTCTATCCAACCTTGACTTAAATACTGCGGTTTATACCTTTACTGATGCTCTTCATAATTCAATCTTGAGATTTGTCCCTATATCACGCTTCTATAAATCCAGTTTTCCCACATGGGTATCTAAAGAGCTCAAATTGTTAATTTATCGTAAGAACAAAGCTCATGCAGTTTAAATCTACCTTCGACCCTGCTGATTACACTGCTTTTTCCCTGCTTCGTGCTAAATGTAAATATACTTCCAAAAAATGTCATAAGGTATTTGTCGAACAGTCTGAAAAATCTCTATCGTCAAATCCCAAAAAATTTTGGGATTTTGTACGCAAGAATCGTTCCCATAATGCTGTTCCGAACACAGTTTCTTTAGATGGTGTCAATAGTTCTTGTAAGCTGGAAAGTGTTAATCTGTTTGCTAAACATTTTTGTTCGGTTTATTCTTCAGAGCCCGTTACTTCAAATCTTCAGACATCAGATATACAGTTCTTCGACTTACCTAACAACTGTTACTTCTCTCCAAACGATGTCCTCCGAAAGCTTAATACTTTAGAAAATGTGTCTTCTACTGGACCCGATGGAATACCTGGCGATTTCCTCTACAGAACGAGGCTCATTATTTTCTATCCTCTTTGGACCCTATTTCGAAGATCCCTCGATGATAGTATTTTTCCTGACATGTGGAAAATTGGTTCTATTACTCCAATTTTAAAATCAGGTTGCCGTTCATTAGTCACTAATTACAGACCAATTTCTATTTTAGGGCATATTTCTAAGCTCTTTGAGTCATTAGTCTTAGACTCAATTCAGCCTTCTGTAAATTTGATCTTAGCCGATGAACAGCATGGTTTCCGTCCTGGCAGATCAACGGTTACTTGTAACCTTGTTTTCTGCAATTACATATTCGGATCTTTTAAAAATGGAACACAGGTTGATGTCATATATACCGACTTTGCTAAGGCGTTTGACTCCGTTAACCATGAGGTATTAATCTCTGTTCTTCGTGCTACTGGATTTGGGAATCCTCTCCTATCTTGGTCCAATTCATTTTTAGTAAATAGATCTCAATGGGTTAATTTGTTCAGCACTAAATCTGACGCATTTTTATCTCCCTCAGGCGTTCCCCAGGAAGGACATCTATCACCTCTTCTATTCTCTTTGTTTGTTAACAGTGTTAGCTCCTCTCTCAAACATAGCAAACTTCTTTGTTTTGCCGACGATATGAAGATATTCCTCGAAATTAACTCTGTCGATGATTGTCACAAACTCCAGGATGATTTAAATAATTTCTCCGCATGGGCTGAATCTCTCGGTTTCACATTAAATATTGAAAAGTGCCGATCGATGACATTCACAAGAAGTCGCACTCCTATTACTCATCATTACTCATTGAATGGCTCTAATTTGATTCCAGCTGACTCTAGCATCTGTGATCTCGGTTTTACTTTTACTCCCTCTCTTTGTCCTAGAGCTCACATTGACAGAGTTACATGCAAAGCCCTTAAGGTATTAGGATTCGTCAAAAGAATATCTAGTGACTTTAAGCTCTCCGCTTCCCTCAAAGCAATATATTGTGCACTTGTACGTCCAATCGTAGAATACGGCTCAGTTGTATGGGATCCCCAAACAACTGATGCTTGTCTTTAACTAGAACGGGTTCAGCGAAAATTTTTATGTTACATAAAACATTCTCTTAACGTAAACTGCGCCCCTCATGAATATACTCCTCTTATCAGTTTGCTTAACTTATCCTCCCTAGCTGACCGTCGTCGCTTCAATAATCTCTCTTTCCTTAACAAAATCCTAACAGGCTTGGTCGATTCCCCATCCCTTCTTTCTCTCATTAACTTTAGAGTTCCTGTTAGGTCCACCCGCAATAATCATCCTTTCTTAATACCTCTCTGCACTAGAAACTATCTAAAAAATGAACCTATTACAAGATTATTGAAATTAGCCAATGAGGATCCATTGTTCCTTTAATAGTTTTACTTTTGTATTCATTGTTTAGTAATTTATATTTTATATATATACTTTGTTGTATTATTCATGTTATGTTATTGTTTGATTGTATTGTACACCTAATTATTTTAACCTGGGCTCACGCCCGTTTATTCAATAAATAAATATGCAGCATACAACAATCGTTATACAGTAATCAATTTTTTTGCATTCTCAATGGAAATTATTTTTGAATAAATAAAATAATATAAAAAATAAATGTTATATTATAAAATCATTTGTATTATTTAGTAGCGTACACAATGTATATCTATTCTAGATTATTTTATTTAATATGGTATTTTATTGAGATGTAAGCATTGGATTAATCTTGATTTCTATGGTGATGGGACATTCAGACCGAAAGGTACTAAATTATATAAGGGTACCACAATCAGTCTCATAAAAGACAATTTTCTATAACTTTTTTCTTATAATTATAACTTGGTTATTATTTTGGATTTGATATTAATTACAAATAGTGTGTAATAGTGTGATGAAATGGGGAAAATTAATTGTGAGTGGATTTTTAATAAACAGTTGGAGACACTAATTTTCGGTTTTACACTTTGGGGAAGAGAGGCGGCAAAATCTTAAATAATAAAAAAATAATAAAATAATAAATATAAAAAATAATAAAAAAATAATAAAATAATAAAATCTTAAATACGGTTCTGAGTATGCACTGTACAGTTATAAACAGGACTCGTAAGTTAATGCAATAAAAAACGCATAAATAATGCACTAACATTTGATCAAATATGCATTAAAAAT